CTACCCCATTCCTCTCCCTATTTCTGTATCTAAACCAACGTTTTCCCAGCTACCATCAGTTCTGAGGAAGGGTCACTGGGCCCAAAACATTAACTTTGATTTTTTCTTCACAGATGCTGCCAGACCTACTGAGCTTTTCCAGCAACTTCTGTTTTTGTTCCTGTGACTATTTGTGCTAATTCCACATCAGACTCTATTGTCATGCAGGATCTACATATGATAACAAACTTGAACAATGAGGAAACTACACATAATCCCAAGATTGTTGGCACTTGGATCAGCCAAAAATACATATTGAGTCTCCACTTTATATTATCTTCTGCAATATGATATTTCCATTTTAAATTCCTGCATCCCCATATAAAAAAGGAGTCTGCCTAATTAAATGGATCCTCGTGCCATTACACTTATTCTTCATGCCCATTGTAATTACACCAGTTCACATGGATATTTCCCAAATTAAACAAGGAAATTGGAACTTCTAATAGAGAAAAAAAAAAGAAAGACATTTCACCAATTTATTAACTGGTTTCTGAAATCCACCATCTCAGAAATCTGAAGAGGGTGACTGACAAGACTAAGAAATATCTTTCGATCTCACAATCTCCGAATTTAAATCTTCCACAAGTTTCATCTAGGGGGTTAACTTAACCCAAGCTGTCCTAAGCATCTTGACTTTCCAAACTTGTGCAAACTATGTTACTTTGTGAACAGCATAAAATTCCTGTTTGAGGAAGAAAATAAATATGTTTCACGTAGTGATAGGGCTGTATAGCATGGAAACAGACCCAACTCATCCATGCAGACCAGATATCCTAAATTAATCTAGTCTCATCTTTCAACTTCAATGCCAACTGAGACGGTAAGTAAGAAAGCTGACCTAGATGCATTTGTGGGTGGTAACATATTTCTGCTAAGTTTAAACAAGTGTGATACTTTGGGCAAGTACCAAGCAAACTCTCAACAATGTGGGAGTGTATGAACTCAGCAGATTTCTGTAGGAAGCCCATGCAACTGCCGGAGGAAAGAAATAAGAAACTACTAAAAAAAAGTAATTGTAGGCTGACTTCGCTCACCTCAAACGAGTGGAGTATCTCATCAACTTACCTTTAGTTGGGGCACAGCCTGAGGAAAACAGACAAAAAGCAACTTGGGAATGAAAAGGCAGGGGAATGTTGAATATTCATACTGGGGAAATGTAATTAAAATGTTTTTAACTTTTTGAAGAGAGTTTGATAATTTTGTCTTGGATTATTCACAAGATTAACTCCATCAAATAGAGCAAGTTTCACCAATTTAGTACGACGCCATTTCAAAGCCACAGGAACAGTTCCAATTATTCCATCATCTCTCTTAGTTTCAAATTGTGCCTTTGTTTGACTTAACCAAATATTTTTATTTAGTTATTAAAGTCAATTTCAGTTTGGGTTTCATCGTTGCTTACAGGTGATTTAAACTTGCATTTGCACACTGGCATCTATTCCTGATTTCTAACGCAGACTATGGGCGGAGTACGTGCTTTTCTTTATTCTGGATATCAGATTTGAAAAATTCTTGCATTTGGTGTCCCCTTGATACTACCCAAGTTAAATGTCTCACTAGGCATTTGTCCTGAACAAGTTGTTCAGTGGGTATTCTTTTTCTCAACTCATTCACTGGGTGTGGGCATTGCTGACTAGGCCAGCATTTATCACCTATCCCAAGTTGCCATCAAGAACATGATGGTAAGCTGCCTTCCTAAACCACTGAAGTCTATTTGGTGGAAGTAGACCACAATACCATGGCAGGGTGGGGGCAGGGCGGGGTGCTTTTCCAGAATTTTGACCTGGCGGCAGTGCAGGAATGGTGATAAATTTTCACGTCAGGATGGTAAGTAGTTTGGAGGGGCATTTGTAGGTGGCGTTCCAGGTATCTGTCACCTTTGTCCTTCTAGAAAGTGGTGGTCACAGGCTTGGAAGGTGCTATCAAAGAAACTTTGGTGAATTTCTGCATTGCAGCTTATGGATGGTGCATACTGCTGCTACTAAACTTTGGTGGTAGAGGGACTAAATATTTGTGGATGACGTGCCAAGCAAACTTTGCCCTGGATAGAGACAAGGTTCTTGAGTGTTGTTGGTGCTGTACTCATCCAGACAAATCTGAAGTATTCCTGCACACTCCTGATTTGTGCCTTGTAGATGGTGGACAGGTTTTGGGGAGTCAGGAGGTGACTTACTCACTGCAGAATTTCTAGACTCATGCCTGTTCTTGCAGCCAAAATATTTGTATTCAAGTCCACTTGAGTTTTTGGTCAATGGTACTCCTAGGATGTTGATAGTGGGCGACTCAGTGATGTTAACACCACCGAATGTCAAGAGCCGATGATTATATGCTTTTTTGTTGGAGACAGTCATTGCATGACACTTCTGTGGTGTGAAGATGGTTTGTCACTTGTCAGGCCAAATCTGGACATTCAGTATCTGAGGAGTTGTGAATGGTGCGGAACATTTTGCTCATTGCACATATCCCCACTTCTTACAAATGGAGGGGAAGTCATTAATGATGCAGCGGAAAATGGTTGGCCCTAGGACACTATGGCAAATGCCTGCAGAAATGTCCTGGAACTGAGATGGCTGATCTCCAACAGGTGCAACCATCTTCCTATGTGTCACATATGACTCCAATCAATGGAGAGTGTGCCCCTCCCAATTCCCATTGTTGCATTTTGCTTGGGCGCCTTAGCACCACACTCGGTGAAATGTGGCCTTGGTGTCAAAGGCAGTCACTCTCACTTCACCTCTGCAATTTTCATCTACAGTTTGAACCAAAGCTGTAATGAGGTCAGGAGCTGAATGGCCTTGGTGAAACCCAAACTAAGCGTCAGTGAGCAGGTTATTGCTAAACAAGTACTGCTTGATCGCACTTTGATGACAACGTCCATCACTTTACTGTTGACTGAGAGTAGACTAATGAGACAGTAATTAGCCAGGTTGAATTTTTCCTGTTTTGACTCTTCAGGACATACGTGGGCGATTTTCTACATTGTTGCGTATATGCCAGTGTTATAGCTATACTGGAACAGCTCAACTAGGGACATGGCAAATTCTGGACCATACATCGTCAGAACTATTGCCAGAATGTTGTCAGGGAACGTGACCTTTGAAGTATCCAGTGCCTCCAGTCCTTGTGGATGCCACACAGCATGCACTGAATTGGCTGCAGACTGGCATCAGTGATGCAGGGTTCCTGAACTAGGCTGAAGTAAGTCACTCTGGGTGTAGATTGATGCAAATGCTTCAGCTTTATCTTTTGCACTGATGTGCCCATACCTAGTTGGGGATATTTGTGGAGCTTCCTCCTTCAGTGAGTTGTTTAATTGTATACCACATCTCATGAATGAATATGGCAGGACTACAGAGCCTAAATCTGTTCATTGTGGAATTACTTAGCTCTATCACTTGCTGCTTATGTAGTTTGGCACATAAGTAGTCCTGTTTTATAGTTTCACCAGGTTGACACTCCATTTTTTGGTTCCCCCTTGGCTGTCCCTAGCATGCTCTCTTGCAATCTTCACTGAACCGGAGTTGACCTTCCTGGCTTGTTGGTTATATTAGAGTGAAAGACATTCTGGGCCATGAGTTTGCAGATTATGTTGAAGTACAATTCTGTTGCTGATGACCAACAGCACCTCATGGACTCCCAGTCTTGAGTTGCTATAGCTGCTCAATAACTATCCCATTTTGCGTACTAATAGTACCACACAACACGATGGAGCATATTCTCAATGTGAAGGCAAAACTTCATTTCTACAATGACTGTGTAGTGGTCACGGTCGTGGACAAATGCCTCTGTGACAGGCAGATTGGTGGGATTGAGGTCCATTATGTTTTTCCCCACTTCGGCAGACCCAGTCTAGCAAACAGTGCTCTTTAGGGCTTGGTCAGCTTTGTTAGCAGTGGTGCTGCCAAGCCACCCTTGGTGATAGACTTCGAGGTCACCTATTAGTACAGTCAGTGCCCTTGCAATCCTCAGTGCTTCCTCCAAGTCATGGTCAACATGGATGAGTACTGATTCATCTGTTGTCTGGAGGGAGATGGGTAGTTGGGTTGGGTTGCGTATTTGGTAACAGCAGGTTTTCCTTGCCCATGTTTGACCTGATGCAATGATACTTCATGAGTCAATGCCAAGGTTTTTCAGGGCAACTCCTCCTAGCTATATACCACTGTGCCACCACCTCTTTTGGGTCTACTGGTGTCTGCCTGTGGGACAGGACATACTCTGGGGTGGTGATGGTGTTGCCTGAAACATTGTCCATCATGTACAATTCCTTGAGTAAGACTATATCAGGGTTTTTATTGCTCAAGTAGTCTGTAAGATAGATCTCCCAATTTGGGCACTAGACCCCAGATGTTAGTAATGAAAGTTAAAGGGGCTGTGTTTGCTGTTGTCCTTTCTGGTGTCTCAATTGGTGCAAGATGTCCCATCAGTGTCATTCCTTTTTTTGAGAGCTTTTAGCACTGGTACAAATGAATGGTTTGCACGGCCATTTCAGAGGGCAGCTAACAGTCAGCCACATTGCTGTGGGTCTGGATTTACACGTAAAGATGGCAGTTTTCTATACTAAAGAATATTTGTGAACTAGATGGGACTTTTATAACAATTTAAAAATGGTTTCATGGTCAGACATTTTATTTCAAATTTTTTTTAACCAATTTAAAATTCTACCATCTGCTGTGGTTTGGCTCGAATCCAAGATTTCAGAACAAACCAGTACACCACTGCCTCTTCATATTGATTGAGCATTCAAGGAATGACACAAATGGAGTTTAGGCCAGAGATGATAGGCCACTAATCAACTTCAGCTAGTTGCAAGCAAACAATGTACAATCCTGGAAAATATCCTGATCTACAAGGAATTGAAATAGTAACAAACTATTTGGAAGCAATGATGCTAACAACTTTGTTGTTTCCCCCCACAAAATTACATTTGGCTGCAGGGCAGAGAGGAGAAAATTCCTTACCATTAAAGGGGTTCAGGCATCGCTGAATTCTTTGTAGAATTGCCTCTTTTACCTCTTTCTTCTTCGCACACTGAATTCCCAAGTTCTGAAAGCTAAAAATTGTGAAGCAATTTAACAAATGCAATGAGAAATAATAAAATTAATTTTTGTTTACATCTTGGAGATAACTTACAAAATAATTTCACTGAATCATTTTTTGGTATATTGCCTGAAATGGTCAGAAGCAAATTTAGTAGAGATCACTGTGGCATATAAATGAGTTTTCAATGGAAACAATAACACTTATTAAACAAAAAGTTTAGCTAAAACAAAACTCCATTTAACTTTCTCTTCTTGAAATATAAATGCTACTTATGCTTCTATATCAAGCAGAGGTACGAGCTGTGGAAAATTGTGCGGGAGTCCATTTCTTGACTGATTTGCATAACACAGTAGTTCAATGTTTGGGACTTCCCCATTACATTTCCCAGATGGAAAAACCATGACATCATCACAGCATAGTGGATGACACCTAGGAAGTACATATTTTCAAAATGCTGGGTGGGAATAACAACTTGTGATATAGGGAATTAACACTATAGTCTTAAAACAGTAATTGTCCATATTATGACCTGCTTTTTGTTACCAAACCAACAATAATTTGCTAATCAAAGTATAAACCATTTAAGAATAAACTGTCTCAATTAAACTGCATAGAGAGAATACTAGTATGTTTCATTTCATTAAAATATGATCGCTAATTACATTGTTAACTTTAAATCTACATTACAAAGCAGAAGTCTTGGAAAATGAAAGGTCAACACTTTCACACTAAAATAGAGAGTGTATTCTAGTCTTCAAGTTGAGCTGTTTAGCTTTCATCATTGCTGTTAGCGCTTCCAATACAGACTACAAGAATTATCAGTCATCTTCACTATTCTAAATTGTATTAGTACACTTTCTCATGGAAATTTTTTTTAAATTTCAAATGATTAATCTAATAACCAAACACATTCACCGAATCCTACTGGATTTCTGTACCATATGTAACTTTAAAATATGTAGCTGACATTCAACTTTGAAGTATTGGGAACTATGAAGAGTATAATGATAGACGTCAAGACAATGTGGAAAGGCTGCAGAAAGGTGGGACAAGTGGCAGATTTAACTTAATGGATAAAAGGGTAAAGTGTTCCTCGGGTAGGAAGGAGGAGAAGCAATATAAATTAAAGGGTACAATTCTAAAACAGTTACATGTACAGAGAAATCAAGGGACATTGAAGGTAGCAAGAAAGGTTAAAAATGTAGCTAAAAGGTATAGTGGATTCTGGGCTTTATAAAGGGAAACAAAAAGGTACAAAAGAAGTTATGATGATCAGCCTAAATTGGAGTATTATGGCCCCATATTTCAGGAAGAATAAGAAGGCGCTGGAGATGGTGAAGAAAAGATTTACAAGATGAGGAACTTTGGTGAAGTTGGGGGCTATTCTCCTTAAAGAAGGTCGAGAGGAAATTTGATAGATTGTTCAAAGTCATGAGGGCTTTAGACAGAATAGATGAAGAGAAATTGCTCACATTGGTGGAGGCATCAGGAACCACAGGGGACACGTTTAAAGTAATTGGCTAAAGAACCAAAATCAATGAGGAAAAAGTTCCGTTGCAAGTGGTATAAGACCTGGAACATACTACTTGAGAGTGTAGTGGAGGCAGTTTTAATCATGACTTTCAAACAGAAATTGAATAAGCATCTGAAGAAAAAATATTTGCAGGGCTACAAAGAGTAAGCAAGATAACAGCACTAGCCAAATTGCTCTTGTGGAGAGCCAGCACAGATTTAATGGGATAGATGGTCTTCTTCTGTGTTATAACCATTTTATGATTCCATGATTTTCACATACTAGTAATTAGACAACAAGTCCCTTAAATGGATAAAGACTGCAGCAAATGCAAACATGAAACATACAGTGGCAATTCCATACTTGAATCAAGCTAATGAGGAACAGCTCCGTTAATGCTGTATCAAACAATGAAGTCATATATAAAATTCACCATAACTAACCATATTCTGTGTATTGTTCTATAAGTCTAAGGAAGAATCCATTGGCCTATCATGAGCATGGTTGCTCTTTGGTAGAGCTATCTAATGAATCCCACTCCCTGCTTTTTCTTCACAGTCTGGTATTTTTTTTCTCTTAAGTACTTATTCTATTCTCTTTTGAAAGTCATTATTGAATCTGTTCCTACTATTCTTTTAGTTACTGCTTTCCAGATCACAATAAATGGCTGTGAAGAAAAGATTCCATCTCATGCATTTCATTCCATTCCAAATCACCCAAATCTATATCCTTTGGAATTTGATCCTTCTACCACTGGAAACAGTTTATTCTTTAAGATTTGTAGCTCGGGTTGTGGGTGAGGTTGTTGACTTGCTCGACAAGCTGGCTTGTTTTTGTACAGACGTTTCCTCACCATGTTAGGTAACAGCATCAGTGAGGACTCCGATGAAGCGATGTTGTTCTGCTCTGCTTGGCACTTATACTGTCCTGTCTGTTATGATGAGTAGTGTCATTTCCGGTTCTGTTCTGTATGGGTTTGTAGGTGGGGTCCAATTCTATATGGTTGCTGATTGCATTATGAGGTGAGAACCATGCCTCTAGGAATTCCTGTGTGTGTCTGTGTTTGGCTTGGGCTATTTTGGTTATGTTGTCCAAGTGTACTGATATTAGGGAAGGTTTGTCATGTTGTGTTGCTGCTAGTTGACGTTCGTGTATTCTGATGGTTAGTTTCCTTCCTGTCTGTCTGATGTAATGCTTGTGGCAGTCGTTGCATGGTATTT